AGTCTCCTGCCTCAGCCTCCCAAGTAGCTGGGACCACAGGCGCCCGCCACAACGCCTGGCTATTTTTTGGTTGCAGCCGTCATTGTTGTTTGGCGGGCCGGGGCTGGGGATTCGAACCCGCCACCTTAGGTATATGTGGCTGGCGCCTTAGCTGCTTGAGCCACAGGCACCGAGCCTACAATAGTATTCTTAAATACACATTCTCTTGTAGAGTACAAGTCATACTTGAGACTACTTAACCATTTTGCTTTATTTGGCCTAAAAATAGCTTTGCTAGTTTAGAATTATTAAAGTAATTTTATTCTCAAAACTAGAGTTATATGAGTTATCCCCTAGGGGTTCAGGGGCTTAACCCATACTCCTTGCTGCAACAATAAAAACAAAAAGTAGGTATTATCAGAATTTATACAATGTCATCTTGAAGGATGGGAATTTGCAGCAGCCTTGCTGATTACTTGAGGTTCTGGGCAGAAGAATGTTGCATTTGTTTTCTTGGGAGGTTAAATAACATGGTAAAATAACTGAGCTCTTGTTCTGAGGCAGTTTACTTAGCTGTTACACTTTGTACTAACCTGGATAGCAGGTTATCCTGTAATTGAAATCTGTGGCCGAAATTTATATCTCAGAGTAATAAAATTTTAAACTTTAAAATAAGAAATTAGACTCCCTACTTGAAGTAGATATTAAATAACATTTGAATATTAGAGACCAATATTGTACCCAATGTTGGAATTTTAGTCTTTATATAACATGAAACAGTAGACATTTCTAAGACTTGGAATAGAGAAAAGTCTTTTTTTGTTTAGGATAGAAAAATACTATTTTTAACCGTGTAGGACATACTCTAATTACTTTGGTTAGTTTTCACGAAGATCCACAAATCATGAACTGTAGTAGATTAGGTCATTTTATATCTTTTGCCAAGGATAACTATCCCCCCCCCCTTTTTTTAATGTGGCTTTGGTAAATGCAAGCAAGCATTTTTTTTTTTGAGACAGAGTCTCACTTAATCAACCATGGTAGAGTGCCATGGTGTCACAGCTCACGTCAACTTCCAGCTCTTGACTTAAGGCGATTCTCTTGCCTCAGCCTCCCTAGTAGCTGGGACTACAGGCGCCCGCCACAACACCTGGCCATTTTTTGGTTGCAGCCATCATTGTTGTTTGGTGGGCCCTGGGCTGGATTCGAACCCGCTACTTTAGGTGTATGTGGCTGGCGCCTTAGCTGCTTGAGCCACAGTCGCTGAGCCAGTTTTAAAAAATGTTAATGGACCAGCTGCAGTGGCTCAGGCCTATAATCCTAACACTCTGGAAAGGTGGAGGTGGGTAGGTTGCTGAGCTCAGCAGTTCAAGACCTGAGGCCTGAGCAAGGCCTGAGCTTATGAAAGACATTTCCCCCTTCCCTCATCTCGTAGAAACTAGCTGGGCATGATGGTAGGCACCTGTAGTCTCAGCTACTTGGGAGGCTGAGGCAAGAGGATTGCTTGAGCTCAGGAGTCTAAGGTTGGAGCTGTGAGCTATGATGATGCCACAGCACTCTACCGTGAGTGACAGAGTCTCAAAGGAAAAAAGTTAATGGTAGATACCGCCTGATGTTTTTGTGTATATAAACCAGTTCATACCAGAATCAGTATCCACAATGACCTATTAAATAAGAAAATTATTTTGGAAAAGATTTTATTTTTGTTGTTTACACAAAATAAGAGCAACCAGGTTTTTCTTAGGGGGAGGGATAAGCAGGAGTGAGAATAGGAGAATGAAACAATGTTTTTGGGAGTATTTTGTCAATTCTCTGGTGTTTTTGTTCATTGTTCCTTCGTTATTTTCACCTTATTATATGTTAAAAAAAATCTCCCTAGGGTATCTATATCTGGTAGGTAATTTAGAATATTAGTAAGCTAGCTAGTGTTGATTACCATTTCAGAAAACTTGGATTTTACAGAGGACTTGCCTGGTGTGCCTGAAAGTGTGAAGAAACCCGTAAATAAACAAGGAGATAAATTGAAAGAAAATACCAGAAAGATTTTTAGTGGCCCCAAACGGGTAAGTAAAGCACTGTCTGTCACTTTTATTATTGGACGGCTCAACTATTAATTTTTTATTTGAAATTTACTAATAAACATTATAGCAGATGTCTTTCAAAAGATAAATGTGAGTCATTTTCCCAAACATAGTAGCCATTTTTTAAAAATTTGTGGTAAAATAGAAGTTATATTATTTTAATCATTCTCAAGTAATATAAGTCAGTAGCATTAATACTTTCAGTGTTATAAAACTATCACCATTGTCTATACCCAAATCTTTTTCATCATCACCAACGAAAATTCTATACCCATTAACAAATCCCTTTTCTCCCTTTCCCACTTCCTACTAAACATTATTCTACTCTTATTCCCTTTTTTTAGAAGCACTAGAGCTCATTGAGGCATTTTATTTTATTTTAATTAAATTAATGAATTAGTTAACTTTTTGAGACATACTCTCAAGCTGTTGCCTGGTATCATAGCTCAAGAGTGCTGTGGTATCTTAGCTCACAGCAACCTCCAACTCAGGGCTGTGATCCTCCTGCCTCAGTTTTTCT